AATCAACGCCACCAAAACTGAAGCCTATTTTTTCTCTAGAAATGCCTGATATAACAAAGTCTGGTACCACCATCCCCACCAAGTCCACTATATCTATACGCGGTATTTGATCATCCTAATAAATGTTGTGAAGATGACTTTGGGCTTTCATCTATGAAAAACTCGGATTCTTGTTACGTTCGAAAAGCTACTTCACACCTCAACAGCTTATCATGATCTACAGAACACGACACGGCCTGTTCTAGAATATTGTTTCCACATAATTATGGTGCTCAGCCATTCGCCTGGTGGGTGATGCCACACTAACTATAACTCTTTGAGATCATTAGACAGGGCCTTATCTATCTCACCGGGCCGTAGTCTATCCCCTCTCTCTCTCGACGCTGACGTCACACTAGTAGGTTGAGATTTCACATCAGTCCGTACTGATGCGTTCGTAATTGATAGGCTATAGCTCATTCACTATAGATTTTAGAAGCACACTCAATCGAGACGAAATGATCCCCAACAAATTCCTCAACTTTTGGTGAAAAAATGAATCCAATAGGATGAATCATGGCAATTATGGCGTTGTAACGAAATTCCATTTTATTGAAAATCAGGACGTTGTACTACAGAATACTATTTTTTGCAAAATTTGGAATTGGAATAAGATGGAACTAACTCAATATATCAAACTACCATAATGAATCAATTGAATAGTGAAAAAATTGTAGAGTTACCTACAGTGAGTCCGAAAGAAATTAAATATAAAGAGCGAGTAAAAAATGGGCTGTTATATACCTACCTACTCAAATTTCGCTGTATTACAATTTCGCGGTAATTCCTTGGACTGGTAAAGGGCGATTTACTTTTTATTACTCATTTCATTTCTAAATGGCGTATGGTTCACACCAACTAATATTGATGCCTGAAAAATTCGAAACAATATTTCTACAATGTGAGTCACAACATAAAGTTTTGGAGAATTTAGCAGAAATTGAAATCAACTCCCTTCTCAATTATTCCGAGAATCAATGTTGCAGTTGTGGGTCTTTTGATTCAATCAGCAGAACATTCTCTAAAACCATTTCAAATATTCTGTTGAACAATCATTGCAAAATAAAAAAAAAATTAAAAAGGAAAAATCACTACACTTTCAGGATGAGATAATTATATAGTTCAGTTTTCAAATTTTAGTTTGTGATTGAGATGATGTATATATATTTTTTGTTATTAGTGTATTTAATTTTGAGATATCTATCAATTTTTTTATTTTGTTATGTTGATCATTTTTACAGTTTATTTTGTTTGGTTTTGTTTGTGTATAAGGATTCAACGTTTTTTTTTTTCATTTTTTCCTTATTCATTCATATTTCGTTGTTCTGGGTATTTTGTTATTCAGTTCGTTATATTCATTTTTATATCTCTCATTTTTGGGATACATATTTTTTCGATTATTTTTGTTAGGTTGTGTTCATATGAACTCCACATATTTTGTTCTTTTTAATTCTGATAGTTTGCAAATATATTCAAATCGAATTTTTTTCACGAATTCAACGTTATCATTCAAATATATACTCTTCAGCAGAAAATAATTGTTACCGAATAGGCGTTTTTGTGTAATAACACACTCGAGTAATAGGATTTCTAACGTCATCAAAGTGCGTCCTGATCATCTTTAGAGATAAACGCTGCTAAAACCCTTCGAGATAAAGTGGATGTGTATGTGACAGCATATATCCATAGTTGATATGATTAGCATGGGAGGCGTCCGAACTTTTTGAACTATTCTGTAATGAACACCTGAATCATCGTTCTACTTGAATTGAAATATCGGTTTGTTGTTGGCCCTTGGCAATTTCGAAAAAAACCTAAGTCAATCTAGATACTATGCGAAATCTTTTCATGGTTGAATCATTTCTGTGAATTGAATATTGGAATTTTGGTAGCTGTTTGAAAAAGGACAATTCTGAATGGCGTCAATTAATTTTGATATGCCATATTTCTGAAAATAATGATCGTAAATTAGTGAAGTTTGATTCATCTTCTGAAAAATTCTTTTCTGTACATATTTGACCTCTTGATATTTTTCGCTAACTGTGACCGTTTTCCCGAGATAAATCAATGAAACGGGAGAGACAATTCCCACTGCGTTGATTTTATCCCTACTAGTGTGACGTCACGAAAGCGATGCTCCGGCCCGGTGAGATAGAGTAGGCCCTGCATTAGACCGCCGTAGAAACGTCGGCGACCTTTCACTTATTTTGTATAGATACTTCCACGGAGAATGTTGTTCGTAAAACTCCGGTTAGGAGAACTCGACAAGCCCATAGTCATCACATCCGTTCGTTGTCAACAGCACTTTATCAAAATATTATGTTTGTCTATATAGAACGGCAAAGCACTGGGAAGCAAGAATATCAAAAAACTTATAATCCCCAAGAAAAGAAATTCTATACCTTCCCCCTCTCCCAATCCTCCCTCGAGTACGCATGATGTTCTTCGAACAATATAGGAATTTTCTTTCGTGCGTTCCAAGCGATAAAAAAAATGCCGACCCCAAAAACCCCCAGATACCAATTCTGAATAGAATCGGATCATATATATTTTTTTATCTTTTGGAGCGCATTAGAGGAAATTCCTATAATGTTCGTGGAACATCGCGCGTACCTATGGAGGATAGGAAGGAGAAGTAGGTGTTGGAATCTTTTTTGAACTTTTGGAGGTCATAAGTTCTTGAAGCCATCATTTTGTTCTTTCTATGACAAAAATTTCATGATTTATTGCCACAAGAATAAATATGTACACCTGCCAATTTTCAAATCTGGACTTGGACTTTTAGAAAAGTGTCATATTTACCGTGCAAGATATTATTACACACACACACATCTAGACTTGTCTGTGTGAAAAAAATTAAATGAATGGCAAACTCGGTCGGAGTCACTTGACTCTCACTAAATGTCTAAAGTCACTTTTTTTTCGATTAATCGGCTAAAATAGATTTATTTGTTTGAATTTCATCACTAGCAATACCAGTCAGACGAACTCGACAAGCCCAGTCAGCACATCCATTCGTCGTTAACCTTGAATTATGTCGAACAACACTGTACCAAAACTCGTTCGTCTGTACAACGGTAAATTCTTCGCCAATGGAAGTATTCCGAAGAACTTATAACCTCCAAAAGTTGAAAAAGAATCCCAACACCTACCTCCACTCCCTATCCTCTTAACTTGTTCCACGAACATTATATGAATTTTCTTTCGTGCGCTCCAAGAGATAAAATAAACAAAATAAATCGTTATTCGAAGTTATTCCACAGGGATGAATGAATGCTCGAAGTCAAATTTAAATAATGTTGTTACATGATCATAAGGGATATGTTTAGGTCTCATAAAAGACCATCTTCAGCCTGATTGAAAGTTCTACAATACAAAAGCAGTGAAAGAATTACCTAGTTTGTGCTTGACTTACTTGGAGTTGAAAAATGTTTTGATGCTACTGTTTCTTGTATTGTTGTCGATGCCCATTGCCAAGAATTCAAATATCTAATGAAAAAACAGGTTCCCAATAAATGAAGGGCTCCGTGCCCTGAGAGCGCATACTATTATTATCATTTAAAATTCCATAAACCAGAATAGTATATGGAGGGTATTGCCAAAAAGTTTTGTTTTTGACAACACTATAAATTGTCGGGATTTTTCAAAAGGGGTTCCCCGTGCCCTTATGAAAGCGCTAATTAGAGAAACAGCCAGCACGTGTTTAAATCTAAACTAATTTGGTTAGGAAACACTGAAAATAATGTCTATTAATGACATGGGCAAGACGTTGACATAAGTCGAAGTCAATGTCAAGGAATAAAACATGAAATTCTGACCATGAGCATAGGCATATAACAATATCTATTTCAACTACTTGAAGAATGTGGATGTAGGAGGAGGGATGCATGTAGGGGAGAGTTGAGCAAATCTGAAAAACCATTGACTATGAAATACCATGGAATAAGAGTTGAGACCAAGGTAGGTGAACTAACAGCGATTGAAATAAATAAAATGTTTTCAATGCTTTGGATTTTAATCGCTGTTAGTTCATCTACCTTGGTCCCAACCCTTATTGAATGATATTTCCTCGGATATTTCATAGTCAATGGTTTTTCAGGTTTGCTCAACTCTCTCCTATATGCATCCCTCCTCCTACATCCACATTCTTATATGCCTATCATATACGTATTGATAAACAATACGGATCATAACGGGTGCCAGGATGAAGCCAAAAATATGAAACAAATGAATATCCATAAGGATTTGGTGGCATGATACGCATGCGCCATGCGCTATTATAGTAGTCATCAAAGACATGCGTTTCGGTGGACAATGACGTTTACTAGCCTCTCAATCAAAGCAGTATGTGTCTGATCGTTTCAAAACTTTTCCTTATGCGATAGTCATTTGTCTTCAAAAATCGGCTTCATGTTTCGCTATGGAAACAGATAGAGATTATCCGTATTGATTATAATACGTATATGATGCCTATACTCATGGTCAGAATTTCATGTTTTATTCCTTGATATTGACTTAGACTTATGTCAACGTCTTGTCAATGTCATTAATTGACATTATTTTCAGTGTTTTCTGACCAAATTAGTTCAGATTTAAGCACGTGCTGGCTGTTTGCCCCATCAATTTTATCGATATTTTTTTTCAATTGGCGCTTTCATAAGGGCACGGGAAACCCCTTTTTGAGATACCTGTTATTTTATGGTGTTGTCAAAAACACATTTTTTTGCAATACCCTTCGTATACCATTCTGGTATATGGAATTTTCAATGAAAATAATAGTAGCAATTAGGCTGAAGATGGTCTTTTATATAACCGAAACATGTCCCTTATGATTATGTAAGAACATTATTTAAATTTGTGGAGATGACTTCGAGCATTCCTTCCTTCCTGTGAAATATTCCACTCCACTTTGAGCAATATTGACATCTACCAAAGAATCAAAATGTATATTATTGTTTCAGATGAATCCTCAACATACAGTTCCAGTTCTTGATGATGACGGTTTCATTTTGGCTGATAGTCATGCCATCATGTCATATCTGGTGTCAAAATATGGCAAGGATAAGTCTCTTTATCCCACTGATTTACAGCAAAGGGCCTTAGTAGACCATCGATTGCATTTTGATAGCAGCATTCTTTTCGCAAGGGGACTCATAGTTTCGGTAAGTGTTACTCATGTTTTGATACTAATAAACTAGGCAAGTAATAGTACCTATATTATTCAACGAGCGCATAATGATGGCTATTACCCACGAAGATGGAACTTGCAGTACGAGCCAAAGGCGAGTGTTGTAATCATCTGAGTGGGTAATAGTCATTATGTGTGAGTAGAATACTATACTTTATCTAGAACTATTCAAATATCAAAGCAACTCTGAGACTTCAGAAATATATCTTTGGCAATAATGAAGGTTATTATATAGCAAAATCACTAAATCTGATTTGAAATACTCATTGATTTTATCAAGAACTTATCGACAGAAATTTCGATCAACGAACAGCTTATAACTCATTTCAATATTTTTGATTGTGAAAATATGATAAACAATGTTGGATCTAACTTTCATTAACAGGAAAAATGTCGTGCAATCACATATCAGTCAAAATCTTACCAGGTATTATATGCCAGTTCACTTTTCAGTTGTAAAATGGACTATACCATTGCAGATTATTCATTAACTTGTTTCCACTGTAGCATTCCCCCACCACGAAGATTAATTGTAGTACTCTGTCTCTAGACGCTAGTTATCAACAATAAAGTTCCATGGTTCTGAATGGTCTGTACTAATCTATTCGAATAGCCCGCACATAAGTGTGAGCCGATCTGCAACTGTCAAGTGTCAAGTCCTATTTTATGGTTATGGGTACTCATGATGGTAGTCACTGTTGAGATTGAAAAACAGTGAATTCTCATTTTTCCGTATATTTGTAGAATTAAGGTAATTAAAACTAGGAGAACCATGTGATGTGAGTCTTTTGAATTTGCAATTTGCGTGTACTTCACAAACAGTAGTATAGTGGTGTGCTTTGGTAGAACTAGCAGAACGAATACCTACCTAGTTGAATTTGACAAGACGATGGGATGTCAGATTATTACGCCATCCTACTGTCATTATTACTCTTATTACTCGATTCATCATAATAATGTCTGTCATTAAATGTTGAAAATCGAGTTAGCAATGTATGAATGACTCCATAGTTGTAGATAAAGTGTATTGACGTAACTCTGTATGCCCATTCGAATTGGCGAGTGGACTTGTTATGAATTATTGGCATTCAATTACTCTACTGTATCGTTAGGGTAATATTTGGAGACACGATTTTACCTCAGGTTTCACAAGAAAAGCTTTTAGCAATGATAAAAACAAATTGAGACTCTGAAGGCAAAGATGGAAATGAAAATCATTCAGGTTTTCCAGGCTGAAGGAGATGCTGACAGGCTGATTGTCACTACAGCTATCGCAAAGGCCTCTGATTTTGAAGTGTTTATTGTAGATGAGGACGTAGACTTGTTGGTGATTCACAATGGCCTCACGAATCCCACACAAAAAAAAAACATCTTCCTTCAAAAATGTGGAAGAGGAAAATCATCAGATATCGTCTTTTCAAAAACCTCAATATCTTTAGACCACCATCTCATCCCTTTCATCCATACCTTTAGTGGATGTGATTCCACGGCTATCTTTTTTGGTCAAGGAAAAGGCAAGTTTCTCCAAAATATTTGGAAAATTTTCGATCTTAAGGAGAAATCAGCGGTTTTTACTAAGCCCAATGCAACGCAAGATGGAGTATCTGAAGCAGGAGAATGAATTATCATTGCAATAATATATATGGTGGAGAACAGTGCAAACAAACCCTCAATGACCTGTGCTATCAGCTATTTACTAAGGCTGCTAAAAAAAACAATTCAAATCTTGCCTGACTCCCTTCAACTCGAGACGCTTTTCGCTACCACTCACTTCGTACTTATTTTTTTTATGTTCTGGTTCCCACGAAAAGGAATATCCTGGCGTTCTTCTTGAATTTCTGGAGGTTATATGCCTCGGAGAACACCTCCCACGGCAATGTGTTCCAGAGCCTTGCTGTTCGTTGAATGAACGAGTGTTTGGGAAGAGATGTTCTGTAAGTCTCCAAAGTGACCACGAAGGGGTGCGAAGCCTCAACTCGACGGGTTAATCTCGCGGGGACTGCCAAGGAAGGTACAATTGTTGATATTTCAGAAGAGCATCGTCCATGGAAATATCTATAAAATAGAGCCATATCGCTAACTTTTCTACGGTGTTCCAGAGAAGTCAGTGAGTTTGTGAGCGAGGCATCACCCACGAGACGAATTGCCCTTTTTTGGACAGAATCCAACAGTTTCAGGGTATGTTTGGGTGCTGCACTAAAATATGGGAGCAGTATTCCAGGACAGGTCGGATCTGTGCCTTATAGATCATGAGCATCTGAGTGGAAGTGAAATAGCTCCTGGCCCGAAACAGAAAACCAAGTTTTTGGGATGCACTTTTAGCAATTGACCTCACGTGATTTTCCCAAGGAAGGTTTTTGCTGATAGTAATACCGAGCATCGAAATGGATGTCTTCAAAGGTATGGTTACTCCTGATATGCTTATGTTTGGCACAGTGAGATCGGCTTTTCTAGAGAAAAGGCATGCTTGTGTCTTGTTTGCATTGAAATCCACCAAGTTATTGGATCCCCATTCGAGAATTGTTGCTAAGTCCATATTTATGTTGTCAACATTCCTCCCTCGTTCGTTTCTGATTTGCCTGGCTGGTATTTGGAGCCCTGGAAGTGAAAGCAGCCGCAAAGCTGTGTACTGGACATGAAGTTGCTTCCAACAAATCGTTGATATGGAGTAGAAATAGTGTTGGTCCTAGAATTGATCCTTGCGGAACACCAGCATTTATGAAAAGGGGGTCAGATGAAACTCCGTCGACCACTACATGAAGAGAACTGTTCGGAGAAGACTAGCTAGCAGAGAACATAGCTGGGAAGGCAACCCATAAGATGGAAGCTTGTCGAGGAGTCCATGGTGCCACACTCGATCGAATGCCTTGGAGATATCAAGTGCCACGGCTTAGGTTTCACCATATTTTTCAATAGATTGCTGCCATATATGTGAGGCGTGAGCGAGCAGGTCACCAGTTGATCTCTGATGATGGAAGCCATATTGCCTATCGTTGATAATACCTGAATGTTCCAGGTATTTCATGAGCTCGATGTTTATAGCTTTCTCCAAGATCTTTGAAATAATAGATGGCGATGTTGAACAAAATCCACCAAACTCATCAGAGTATTGTGACTTGTCAAAGAAGAGCTCAAGAAACAATATCATGGCTAGGAATTAATGAGCATATTCGCGAACTTATTGAGAATTGTTCAACTTGCTAGTTATAGTAGATCATCTTGTTCAATCTAATCAGAAGTTGCTATGGAAAAGTATTAAATATCAGTTTTTCTGTATCTCTAATAATAACGGAGGAAAAAAACACTCTTTCGACATAACTGAAAAACTGAAAATAATGTTCAAAATTTCCGAAGATCGTTGGTATGACACTTGGAATGCACAACTTTTTTCCCATTCAACCAAATTCGTATCTCCGTAATGAAATATAATTCACAAAAAATTAAAAACGAACTCGATCAGTTTCAACCTGTCTAAGACATAAGGAAGAAACTTCACTTCCAGCTCGTTTACTCCTCTAACCAAGGAAGATGGAACACTAGCCACAACTGCCCAGGAGAAAGCCAATATTTTCGCGAATTTATTAGCTGGAAATTTCACTTTGCATTCATCAGAAAAACAACCTCCAAACATAACGCCAATTCAAAGTCATATGCCCGAGATCATCTTTTGCCAACGTACTATAAGGAAGAAAGCTTATGGCTCCGACGAAATCCCACTGATTGTTATCAAGAAATGTGCTCCCGAACCAAAACTAAATTGGGGATATTACCGTCCAACTGGAAAATTGCAAGAGTACAACCAGTTCCTAAAAAAGGCAAAAAGAACATACCCATCCACTACAGACCGATCGCACTGAAATACCTAGAACATTCAGGTATTATCAACGATAGGAAATATGGCTATCAGAGATCAACTGGTGACCTGCTCTCTCACGTCTCACATATATGGCAGCAATATATTGAAAAATATGTTGAGGCCTTGGTTGTGGCACTTGATATCTCCAAGACATTCGATCGAGTCTGGAACCACGGACTCCTCGCCAAGCTTCTATCTTATGGCTTGCCCCCCCAGTTATGTTCTCTGTCAGCTAGTTCTCTCTCAAACAGGCCTCTCCATGTAGTGGTCGACGGAGTTTCATCTATCTCTCTTATGATAAATGTTGGTGTTCTGCGAGGATCCATTTCAGCACCAACACTAATTCTGCTTCATATCAACCATTTGCTGGAGGCAACTTTATGTCCAGTACACAGCTTCGCGGATGATGGTACCCTCCAAGGCTATTCAACTCTATAAGGTTGCCTCATATTGACCTGCCCTGACGTCACTGTTTCCCCATCGTCTTTTGTCGAACGGCAAAATGAAAATGGCGGAGGTGAAAAACAAAACAAACAAATTTAGCATTGTGCAATCAAGTGAATATTGATAAATTTTGAAGTTTTCCAATATGTTTTTGTGTCCAAGAGATTGTTCACTGTTTTCCCAAAACATGCAGCAAGTACAAAAGACTGAAGACAGAAATCTAGAAAGATATGTTCCTCAGTGCTCCTGTTGTACAGACACATTACAGAAACTCAGTCAAATTCTTATTGCAATACCACTCCATTAGGACTGATTACTGTTGGCATTAATAAGGATATGGAGGTTGAACTACTGATAAAGCATTTTTTAATGAAGAAAATGTTATTGGGAAGTCTGAACCTAATGATGAAATCATGGTGGATAAGGGCATGCTGACAAGGGATGTGGAGAAATATCTTGAAATTGATTAGGCCATCATTTCTGAGAAACAAGAAACAATTAACTAAAGAGGATTTCCTTCTGGATAAATTGAATGATTGTAACTCACTGGTTTTATTTCAGTATCAATTTGGAACATATTATTGTTTGAAAATGCAATAATAAGAAAATGAATTAATAAAGAAGTCATCACAATTCATTCCATTTTATTAATGCAATAAAAGTGCAACATAATGGAAATATCTTTGAGATATCTTCCTCATAACATTAACACAAAATGTATCACAAAAAAACTGGAATCTTTATGTAAGTTTTGGAGGAAGAAGAATCATACAAGAAAATTAGTTTCTTTCAAGTTCATTAGGGACATTTTAGGGCCATTATTCCCAACTGAATTTATCCATAATAAGTGTGTCTCTCTTCCAACTTCACATTTTTTATACCATCTCCTATCAAGAAATGGCATTGTTCCACAAAATGTTCTGAACCTTTACCTAAAATTTTGAGAAAATAATTCAAGCTGAATGTAATACACATTATTTAACAAACCTCTATATAAGGACCTCAGTAAGGACACTTATTTCAATTATTTCCATGGTCTTCCTTCCTGAAAAATAATTTCATATTGAGAAAATCCTAACCATGGAAAATATTGGGACACAAATTAGTTTGCATGATTTGAAATTCAATATCATTTTCAATGAACATTTTGAAAGAGCTTTGGATTCATATTCAACTCCATGCTGAACAAATTTATTTGAAAAATCCTTTGGAAAGAAGAAGTTGATTGCCTTTTTTCCCAAGACATGTAAAAATGAAGTAGCAAGTATAAGTAAAATTTAATAAACTCACCAGTGTTCCTGAGTACCATGCAATAGCTAGTTGTTCACATTGAGTTCATTGGCTTCCAAACAAAAAACAAAATAGACTGATATACCCTGTAAAATTAACTTCAATTATATAAAGGAAGAATGATTTTAGGGGGTCACTTTCCTTCTATTGAAATAGTTTGGCTGTATAATAGATCATTGATTGATCTACTCTCTTTTTTCAATTTTCACCACTTCTGTTTGTTATATATGCAGCTTCACATATTCCAAGTCTTCATTCCTGAAATTTCATGTATTTTTTACCTGTGTGTGTGATAGATCAAAAGTGCACCTTCCTACCTGTCAATATAAGTCCCTATAAAATGTGTATACAAAACCATGACATGCCTGCTTCACAGGGACATTCACATTGCCACAGCTCATTATTTTCCTTTGGAATTATCTGAATCTCATGTGGAGGCTGCCAAACAGGCATTTCATAACATTTGTTTGTTCTATATCCACTCTTGACTCCACACAATAATATTATGATATTTATGATGTGACCAGCCTTGAATAATACTACACCATATTATTATACAACCTCTCACACTCTTTCAAAGATATCTTCAGTCTTCTTGTCACCCTGTTTTCAACTAAAGTCTAAAATTCGCGATTCTTTCGAATTCAAATTCAAAATTTTTTCCAATTCATTGGACAGTGACACAAACGAAATCAACAATCACGTGGTGGGGAAACACTGACGTCACGCCCCTCCGCGCACCCCCGCACCATAATGCTATACTATGAGGTAACCTTATAGAAGTTAATAGACCTTGGGTACCCTCCATACCGCCTTGTCTTCCATGGCTCCAATACCAGCCAGGCAAATCAGAAACGAACGGGGAAAAAATGTTTACTGCATGAATATGGACTTAGCAACAATTCTCTAATGGGGATCCAATAACTTGGTAGATTTCAATAATGCAAACAAAACACAAGCATGCCTTCTCCCCAGAAAAGCCGATCTCACTGTGCCCAACATAAGCTTGTCAGGAGTAACCATACCTTTGAAGACATCCATTCCGATGCTTGGTGTGATAACCTCTCTTGGGAAAATCACGTGAGATCAATTGCTAAAAGTGCATCTCGAAAACTTGGTTTTCTTTTTCGGGCCAGGAGCTATTTCACTTGCAGTCATCTGCTTATGATCTATAAGGCACAGATCCGACCTGTCCTGGAAAACTGTTCCCATATTTGGAGTGCAGCACCCAAACATAACCTGAAACTGTTGGATTCTGTCCAAACAGGGCAATTCGTCTCGTGGGTGATGCCTTGCTCACGAACTCACCCACTTCTCTGGAACACCGTCGAAAAGTTAGCGATCTGGCTCTATTTTATAGATATTTTCATGGACGAAACTCTTCTGAAATATCAACAATTGATCCTTCATTGGCAACCCCCGCGAGATTAACCCGTCGAGTTGAGGCTTCGCACCTCTTCGTGGTCACATTGGAGATATGCAGAACATCTCTTTCAAAGGACTCGTTCATCCAACGAACAGCGAGGCTCTGGTACACATTGCCAAGGGAAGTGTTCCCCGAGGCATATAACCTCCAGAAATTCAAGAAGAACACCAATTCCTACCTCAGTTCCCTTGGTTCTAACGATGTTCTCTGAACATCACAGGATACACCTTTTCGTGGGAACTAGAACATAAAACAAAAATCAATTCCAAAACTACTGCTAAAATGCTTCTATAATCTATTTATCATTTCAGTGGGGCGTACTTTTTGAAGGAGCCAAAGAAATTCCTCAAAAGCTTCTGAACAACCTATCTGAAGCCTTCCACATGGTAGAGAAATTCCTTCAGAAGACCAAGTATGTTGCTGGAGATCAGATGACCATTGCAGACATCAGCTTTGTGACCAGCATCACCACTTGGAATCCGTACATGCCGCTTCCAGAAGCGCAATTTCCCAAGATCACGGCTTGGTTGAAGAAAATGAAGGAACTACCGTACTACAGTGAGAATCAGATTGGGTTGGATCAGTTCTTGCAGGTTTTGAAAACAAAGATTCAAAATGAACATGGTCTCAATAAATGTATCAATGTGGCTACCTAAGATTTCTCAACCTATTATATCAATATACCTCTAAGTACAAACAATATAACTGCTTGATTTTTTCTATTTGAGAGTTTTTTCTTTATTATATTTCGAGGCCAATTGAGGTCGTTTGCTAGGAAATGTACTTGGGAGACCATTGAAACATGTCATCAATGAAGACTACTTGCATATAATCATGCATTTTTTTGTCCTCTCTGAGCGCTTCACATGATTGATGCTGGTGAATGATTCACAAAATCCGTCAGATACCTACTTTGGAAATAACGATTGAAAATACCGGAATTGAAAACACCTCGAAAAATCTTATCTTAACAAACTGGATCCAATCATGTACATCCATCAGACGTACCATTTTGAACTCATAAAAGATCTGCAGAATCGTACATTCATTGATCGTACATAGACGTTCAAATCGTAAACGTACAATTTATATCCGATTTCGTTCATTTCTTGGGACGTTCTAAAACCTACGAATATGGATGTTTTGGTGAAGTCAAATATCGTACTCATAACGGACATCCATAAAGCGTACAGTACTCTGAACGTTACAAATTATATCCCTAATTGTACATCCATTGAACGTCCATGTTAGGTTCATGGACCTTTGGACATTATTTGGGCCTAAACTGGGCGTCCACTGGACGTATACGTGAACCCCTCGGTTTTTTCAACGTTACCAACTACTTACTTCATATATTTCTAATATTTGAAGTTTCTATTGATAACATTTTCTTGAATAAAAGAATAAAAATTATTGAAAAATTCACAAGATTTATAAGATATGTTGTCATACTAGTTTCTTTGGAGCACTCCTCGCTACGCTCAAACAACGCGTGCGACGAATTAATGTATTATGAAACTTCTTTGATAATATACTTTCTTAATAAACAATAATTACACTAATTTCAATTAGATATCCATATCAGCTCTAACCTTCAGATTTCTTATTATGGAAACAATTTTCCGTGATCCATGATGAAAGTATCTACAAGTTCAATTATAAGCTCGTTATATAATATATTATGTTTAGGATTATAAAAGATATCACACTGATGGTTTTATCCATTATATTTATATAAAGATATCATTTTAGGATTTAGAGTGGAAAGGTCGCAAAATCATTTATGACGATCAAGAATTGTTTTTCTCTGAAAATAGATTTGTTACCGACCAAATTAAGTACCTACCTACAGTTCATAAAACTGAAGCTACTACTCAAATGTGATGAAACAGAAAAGGATATCACTACGCTTGAACCTGTTCTCGCAACAGACACCAAACATTCAAGAAGAATAATAGCATTATTCCAAATTTTTTGGGATTTTCTCTCCTCGTTTCTATAAAATAAAAATATGAATATTATTTCAATATACGTGTAGTAAGGACAAATCAGATGATTTGCCCCAAAATGTCACTGCGTTTAAAGAATTTTCCTATCAGTGACATTTTGGGGCAAATCATCTGATTCGTCCTTACTACACGTATATTGAAATAATATTCATATTTTTATTTTATAGAAACGAGGAGAGAAAATCCCAAAAAATTTGGAATAATGAATATACCACCTCCTCGATTAACCTACAGACAGTATTTAAGAATAATAGCAATTCAAGCAAAAAATATATATCCGTTTTATGTCAAATTCTGGTCGGTCATAATTCTAGTATATTGATATTTTTGATTTCCTGGGCTTCAGATGGATTCATTGATGCATTTGAAACGAATATCCTTTTATTGCCTATGTACAATATCAATTCAATTTCTTTATTTTCTCTACTTACTATATCTTCCTAGAAAACTTCATTTTCGACCCCTTGAGAAGGGACGAAAATGTTACTTTTCCTCCCTGCCCAAGTTTTTCAATACTTTCACGTAAGCAAGACTTATTTTTCACCTCGCCTGTTCGATTGAGTATGAGAAATATTCACAAATTACTAGGGTGGCATCTTCGGATACTTTTTTTACACCGCCCTCTATCAACGATTTTTTGACCACACTATATTCCTTTCACATCGCTCTCTCGATTTATCAGAAAGAAGATGCATTAAAACCAATTTTGCCTCTTTTGGCAGGTCGTCTTCGCTAGAAGTCATTGTCAAAACTCAGAAGCAGTATAAACAACGTGACAGCTTATAACAGCTGTCGACATTTATAACATATATCGCGTACCTTAGGAACTCTAGACCAGTGAATAATGGATATTCACCGCTATTATTCACTGGTGTTGTAACGGCCCCTGTTTCTGAGGCCCTCACTTTGGCGCTCTGTTCAGGACGGAGACTATTCTGGTATTTGAGGGGGCGGGGCGGGGGAGTTCTCGACTGCCAGATTTCTTATGAGGTAGTTTACTCTACCTGCTCTGAACCCAATATTTTTGTACAGAGGCCCAAAGTAGCAACAGTGGAGAAAGGTACAGGAGGAACACTTACCTCGGTACCTACAGAATAAACCAGGGGTCGATTATATTGAATCGACCTGGAATGAATAAGGAGCCAAGTGAGTGTAGGCTTTGATTACAAACCCTGGATTTAGCCTGGAATACTGGTTGCTAATTTCAGTCAGCAAATTACAGGAATCAAAGCAGATATCTTTTGGGTCACTGGTATTTTTAGGTTCATTAACGAATTAAACAGATTCAATTCTTATTTATCTTTCCTTATCCTTCAATTTTTTGAATTTTCAATTTCGGGATTTTAGTGAGGTTGATTACATTTATCCATTTATGTCTAAATTTCATGAACCATGAACCACAGACCACCGCCTGACAGGACACAGAACACAAAGACACCGGTGCACAGGACTGGAATGTTCAAGGAAAAGATAAGAAGAAGAAGAATTGACAACTGGCTTGTCAGTGTCAGCCGTCACCGTCAGCCATCAGTCAATAATAATAATCAGCAATTTGACAAATGAAAATATTGAAAATCAGTAAATAAGTTATTGAACTATTTGGAACTGAAAACAATGACAAAAGTGAAAGAAATATGAAATATGCAATCACAAAAACCGCTTATTCGCAAATACAACTTTCTGGATTCGTTACACAGGTCGGAAGAGTAGTGGTATGAAAAACAACAGAAATGAAATGAATCTATGAACAGAATGAATAATAATGGTGAAAGATATACAAACTTACATGTTCAACAGGAAATCACTATACATTAATACTTTACACCGGTTTTGAATGAACTATCCCTAATAACACAATTATGTCTCATGGATATCCTTAGGACGTCCTGTCGGGACATACAGGACGTCCATAGGACGATCGAATTTGGTACCGTGGACGTCCATTGGACGTCTGTGAGACGCACAAATGTCCCACTTGGGGACCAACTAGGGACGTACTTGAGGGATGTCCATGGGACAACTATTAAATACCTAAATCCTTCAGTATTCTTCATCAAGCACTACGGAGGACATCCCTAGGACAACCTATCAGCAACGCTGAGGGATATCAATTGTATATCCATAGGATGTCCCAGGGACGTACGAATTATTCTTGAATTTGAATTTTTTTGTGTCCCTCTAGGACCAGATCTTGTATAACTGATGAGGACATCCAGTTGAGTTGATGGTCTGTAGAAGGTCCCCAATAGATCCTGAAAAAGTTACCTAAGGATGTCCAATGGACTTACGTGAAGGACATTGACGGGGAGTTTTTATATCCTACGAGCAATCATTTGTCAGCGAGGTGTAAGTTAACGTCCTCGCGGGGACAACATATTGAAAGTACCGACTGGGACGTCCGTAGGACGTTATTTCTAGGACATTGGATAAGAATAGTTCATGTACCATAATTGGGACATTCGATGGATATCCCTAAGGAACATTCGAAGGATATCCCTGAGGGACATATCGATTGTTATACGATCTTAGAAATATTAAGGGTATTTGTGCAGAGATATTCGAAGGAATGTTCTATCAGGGACATTTCATGGTTGTCTGGGAGGGACATTATACAGGGTGTTTCACAGGTAAAGGGAAATATTCCAATGGTGGATGGGGGTCACCGAGGTGGTTCTGAAAATACCATATTTGATAGGTCTTAGAGTTTTCATAACGGAGATACAGGGCGATTTATCGATTTCGAATAATTATTCATTCGTCTATAAGTATTGAACTACCCAGTATATTTTTCTAAAATTTGGTATGGAGCTTAAACTTGGGACGTTGAATTCATTCACCTATCGGGCGAAGAGAAAATCCAGGTTCGGCTTCAGGAAAAATTCACATTTATTCGAAATATTGAAATAACACACTATATGTAATAATTGACAAAGTTCATCAAAAGAATCGTAAAGAGGAGGAAAAACTGAACTGGATTTGATGCTTTTCGTTTTCCCGCCACCAATTCTCATCGTAACAATCATAAACAGAAAGCTGAAAGTATGTCAATTTGAAGAGTATTGAAATTATGAAACCAGTGTCAATTATGATTATTCGATATATTTTAGTCGAAAAATCGCTCGAAAGAACTCACCAAGTCTCACAGTTTTTATAACGGAGATACAGGGTGAATTATCGGTTTTGAATAATTATTCACTCGTCCATAAGTATAAAACTACCCAGTAACATTTTCTCAAATATGGTATGTAGCTTACTTGGGACGATGGATTCATTAACCTATGAGGCGGAATTATAATTTGATAATTCACCCTGTATCTCTGTTATAATGACTATGAGACTTTTCCTGAAGCTGAACCTGTATTTCCATTCTGCCTAAACGGTCAATGAATCCATCGTCCCAAGTAAGCTCAATACCAAATTTGAGAAAATATTACTGCGATGGGTAGTTTGATACTTATGGACGAATGATAATTCACCCTGTATTTCTGTTATAAAGACTGTGAGACTGAGTAAGTTCTTTCGAACGATCATTTAACAAGAATATATCAAATAATCATAATTGAAAGTGGTTTCATAATTTTAATACTCTTGAAATTGACATACTTTTAGCTTCCTGTTTATGATTGTTACGATGAGAATTGGTGGCGGGAAAACAAAAAGCATCAAATCCAGTTCAGTGTTTCCTCCTCTTCACGATTCCTTTGATGAACTTC